GTCTCAGCATTAAAGTAAAACTAAGAAAATCAAGGTATTTTAAGCATTGTACTATTGATACAATGAAGATTACATAGTGCATTTTTGTTGCCCCAAATTATACTGGCCAGGAAAAAAAGATCCCAATATCAGGAAAACAATAGTTTTGGTGGTTGTTTTGGTCTCAGCAATTTGTTGTTAGGTGGCTCAAACGGCTCACACTAGGATTCTTTGTTTATAAGTGTTTGAGTAATAATTCTGTAGAATGACTAGAGTATAGTTTTGAATTCTGTGTGGATCTTGCAACAAAACATGACTCTGTTGGACTACAATGTCCTGTCTTGGTGCATGAGTGTCCTATCTGCCATTCTTGGCTCTTTTCCCATTGAGAGTTCCCTGTGGTCCTATCCAGGCTGCCCCTATAACACAGGTGTTCCCGCAGTTAAAACGGGGCTGCCCAGATGACGGCCCAGGGAAACACACATTAATTCTCCACAAACCAGGAAAATCCTTGTTTGTGGAGAATTAATTTGTCAGTGGGTTTATTCCTCACATTCTAGTCCTGTGGTTTTCCGGGTTAAATTAGCCTGAATTTAACTGTGGTTTCCCAGGCTATATTAGCCCAAAAAACTGCAAGGACACCAACCCCCTCCCCAAACCCTTCCAAACCCCTTTTAAACGTTTTTTTAAAAACTTACCTGGCCTCCATTAGAGTGGGGCTGGAGCTCTCCTGGCACATAGGAATTATGTGCCAGGACAGCGGGGGGTGGGGGGGGGAGCAATTTTCCTCCTCCCCCACTTCTCCTGGCACATCATTCCTATGTGCCAGGAGAGTTCCAGCACCACTCTAATGGAGGCCAGGTAAGTTCTTTTACTTTTAAAGGGGGTTTGGGGGTGGGGGTGGGGAGGGGGTTTGGGTGTCCAGGTGTTCTCCTGGAGAGATTCGGGAGCGCATCTGGACACCTGCCTCAGAAAGCACACACTTTCTGGGGCATGTGTAAATTAGAACCCAGGAACATTCATGTTTTTTAAATGTGAATGTTCCTGGATTAAATAGCTGTCTGGAAGTGCCCTGTGAAAAGCTAAGTATAATAAGACACAACATGTTGCCCTATATAGTCAATTAAAAGACAGTGTTAATCTCTAGGAAGGAACAGAGGGAGTTAATATCATATCATACCTATTGCAAACATGAGCGATTAATGTGTACTTTTAGTCTAATAATGGGAGCCCCCGGTGGCGCAATGGATTAAACCCCTGTGCTGGCAGGACTGAAGACTGACAGGTCGCAGGTTCAAATCCAGGGAGAGGCGGATGAGCTCCCTCTATGAGCTCCAGCTCCTCATGCGGGGACATGAGAGAAGCCTCCCACAAGGATGATTAAAAAAAACATCAAATCATCAGGGCGTCCCCTGGGCAACGTCCTTGCAGACGGCCAATTCTCTCACACCAGAAGCGACTTGAAGTTTCTCGTCACTCCTGACACGACAAAAAAAGTCTAATAATAAACAGGTATATAAAAAGTCTAATATAAACAGGTATAATATATCTGTTTGCATGGCAGTGAAATGTAGATGTGTTGGAGCATAAGGCCAAGGAGTAGGTCAATATTCCTTCCTGTAATTCCTTTAATATGCTTATGAATCATTTTTGTATTTGATCGCTTCACATCAAAGTACCAGACTTTCATAAATAAAATCTGACAGTAAAGCCAAAGCAAAACAGTATGAAAAGGTGTATGAAGACTGATAAAACATGGCCCACAAACCTATGCTGACTAAGCATCTGGAAGCCTGTGTACTGTGTCTCTGTAAGAATATTACTTTGAAATGCACCAAGAATTGCAGCAGAGCTACAAAGAAAAAGATTTGTGTTTAAATTTTTCAAAGAGTAGCAGGAAAAAACATCTGAGCATAGTACCTGTATTCACAAAAAATATTTACACTCCACTGAAACCTGGGGCAAAAACTTGTAAAAACCAATAAACTGATCTATATCTTGCCTGTTAACTGCTATGGCTCAGTCAAACTGCATTAATTCTACAATGTAGATGCACCATTTTTCTACACAGGCCTGCTGTCCTCTGAATAATCATGCCAGCAGTTTTGGCATGTATCTCTAGATTATTATTTATTCTTTGACATAGAAGAATGTTCAGTATTTTCAGATGTTTTGTATTTCCACTCTTTCCCTTCTGCAGTCTAATTTGGTCAGAAATATTCTGTGTCTACTCAAAACCAGCTGAGTGTGACAAGTGGCTAAAACTAGATTTCATTATTTACTTACTTACTTACTTACTTACTTACTGTATTTGTATACCGCCCCTCTCAGCCTTCCAGCGACTTGAGGCAGTTTACAAGGCAAAATTCAATGCCACAAAAACACAAGTACAATATAAAAACATTAACATCAATAAAATCATAACAATAGCAATAAAACATCAGTAAATTCTCATTAAAAACATTGTCCAACTATTTAGGTGAAAATTCTGCAGAATTATTTGTCACACTAACTTTTCCCTAAAGGATGCAGGCACTTAAAAAATTAATACTTCTCTCCATGAACATGTGTGACTTTGGATTCCTTAACTACAAGCTTCCAACTGCCGCTGCATCTCACTTGCTCAATCTTCTTGCATTCCCTTAAGACAGTGGTTCTCAACTTATGGGTCCCCAGATGTTTTGGCCTTCAACTCCCAGAAATCCTAACAGCTGGTAGACTGGCTGGTATTTCTAGAAGTTGTAGGCCAAAACACCTGGGGACCCACAAGTTTAGAACCACTGCTTTAAGATGTATTGTCTAGAATTCCATTGTGAACTATCTAAGTATCTATCTTTTGTTGCCCTCATTCACTTTGTCTTCACCTCTAAGACTACAGCCCCCAAACTTTCCACGTAGATTATTCAGAAGGGCTTTGGTTTGTATGGCAAAGCTCTTCTGTATCGCAAATGCAACATTTCAAAGTAATGACTTCTACCTCCATTATTTTTCTGCTGATACATAGATTTATTTTTCGAGCTCAGTGAGCACAAGCATTTTTTTCTTGCTTTAATTGTGTGCCTAAGGTGCTTCTGGCTCCCTTCTTCCCATTCTGAAGACCATCTGGTTGGTGAAGCTCAGCAACACATAAATGGTACAGACTTCTCCAGTATTGCAGGCAGCAGGAAATTTCTAACCTGTTCTGGCATACTATTTGTTGTTAATTGTCACCAAGTCAGCTTTTACTTATGATGACTCTGTGAATGAGAGATCTCCAAGATATCCCCTAATTGACATCCCAGCTTCAATCTTGCAAATGTGCTCACCAATGGTTCCTCTAAATCCTAAAAAGAAGTGACTAGCAGGATGCCACAAGGTTCTGTTTTGGACCCCATACTGTTCAACATGTTTATTAATGAACTACTTGAAGGATTAGAGGGCATGCTTATCAGGTTTGCAGATGACACCAAATTGGGAAGGATAGCTAATATTCCAGAAGACAGAATCAGAATTCAAAATGACCTCAGCAGGTTAGAGAGCTGGGCCAAAACTAACAAAATTAATTTCAACAACGAAAAATGAAATGCACAGGACAGGACAGGTGATGCCTGGCTTGACAACAGAACATGTGAAAAAGATATTGGAGTCCTAGTTGACAACAAGTTGAACATGAGCCAACAGTGTGAAGCAGAAGCTAAATAAGCTAATGGGATTTTGGGCTACATCAAAAGGAGTGTAGTGAGTAGATCAAGGGAAGTAATGGTGCTCTTCTATTCTGCTCTGGTCAGACCTCTCCAGGAATACTGTGTCCATTTCTGGGCACCACAGTTTCAAAAAGATATCGACAATCTGGAAGGTGTACAGAGGAGGGCAACTAAAATGATCAAAGGTCTGGAGACCATGCCGTATGAGAAGCGTCTTGAAGAACTGTGTCTGTTTAGCCTGCAGAAGAGAAGGTTGAGAGGAGATATAATCACCATATTTAAATATATAAAAGGATGTCATAAGGAAGAGAGAGCAGTCTTGTTTTCTGCTGCCCTGGAAACTAGGGCCCAGAGCAATGGATTCAAATTACAGGAAAGGATATTCCACCTGAACATTAGGAACAACTTCCTGACCATACCTCAGAGTATGGTGGAGGCTCCTTCCTTGGAGGCTTTTAAACAGAGGCTGGGTGGGCATTTTTGGGGGGTGATTTGATTGTGCTTTTCCTTCATCACAGGGCCATAACTTTTTGGACTGAACCAACCATATATGATGTGATCCCTCTGTTTTCCTGCTATCTTCAACTTCATCAAACACTATTATGTGTTTCAGTGAACCATATCATTTTATAATATAGCCAAAGTGTGATAGCATTCATTTTATTCACTTTGATTTTTAATGAGAGTTCAGACTTCAGTGATTCAGACTCGTTTAGTTGCCTTTTTTGGCAGACCATGGTAACTATAGACTATTCTCCAGCTCCACATTTCAGATGAGTTGATTCACTTCCCATCAACTTTCTTCACTGCCCATTAATAGAAATTGGATTTACTATGGAATGAATCATTCTACCTTTGATGTTTAATAATATATATTTTACACTTCCACATATATAGATACCTAAAGATTTTCCTAAATTCAGCAAATTGCTTTGTATATGGTACAAGGGAACACTTCAGGTAAGCAAAAAATACTTAATGCCCTTGTTTGGAGAAACAGCTTTAGTGACAGTAATATAATTTCTGTTTGCTTACAAGTGTCTTGATTGGGAAGGAACAGCATGAAAAATAGCTGATGATGATGATGATGTACCTGGCGAATTTCTCATTACAGGGAGAGTGAACAGCGGTGGACAATATTCTTCTCTAGACCCATATAATTAGGATTCTTTTTTAAAAAAGATGAAACATGATAACAATTGTATTTTTAGATATACAAATGAAGAACAGAGCTAATAAATAATAACACCTGCCATTTCTATTTGGATTTGTAATACATTATAGGAACCTGGAAATACGTATTCTTACTGACAAATCTATACATTTTCCCCCTTTTAGGCTGCTCTAGCAGGAGGCACTACAATGATCATTGACTTTGCAATACCCCAGAAAGGTGGCTCCCTCATTGAAGCTTATGAGAAGTGGAGAGGCTGGGCAGATCCAAAAGTTTGTTGCGATTACGCACTGCATGTGGCCGTCACCTGGTGGAGTGACAAGGTATTGTGGACACCTGGTAGTAACATTATTCATTCAGAAGTGATCAGCATACAGCAGATGTGATGCAAAAGAGCATAGGAAGCAAGGGGCTGTGAAATTTTGGACATGAGTAGCATGGTACATGGGCTTGACTGGGAATATACATTGTAGATTTGGGGTGCATCTACACTGTATAATTAATGCGGTTTGATACCATTTTAACTTCCATGACTCAGTACTATGCAATCCAGGAAGATTTAGTTTGAGCAGCCACCCACAGAAAAGACCTTGTAAAATTACAACTCCCTTGCCATGGCAGTGAAAGTGGTGTCAAACTGCAACCATTCTACTGTGTAAGTGCACCCATAGCAGCTCTTCAGGCATGTGGGGGAGACAAGAATACGTCCAGTTGTGTTTGCAACCCCTTGTCCTGCCTATTGGATCTATTGTTTTAAGTGAAGATATTGACATAATGAATCATCAAAGAGAAAAACTGAATCCAATTTAATTGCCATTATTGCCATTATTTAAAATTGGAATAAAGTTAGAAGAATATAAATAAAGTGTTGTTGTTGTTGTTGTTGTTGTTGTTGTTGTTGTTGTTGTTAATGCTGTGGATATTTCAGATCTTTCTCCTTTTTTAGGTCAAAGAAGAGATGAAAATTCTTGCCCAGGAAAAAGGAGTCAATTCTTTCAAGATGTTTATGGCCTATAAAGATCTCTATATGGTGGGAGACCCAGAATTGCATGCAGCCTTTTCTCAGTGCAAAGAAATTGGAGCAATTGCTCAAGTCCATGCAGAGAATGGGGATTTGATTGCAGAGGTAATTTACTGACTTTAGCATTATATGTGAGTGTCTTCCCCAATAGTTTAGAATAGTATCTCTTCAGAGTTCTACCCTGTGACGTTCTCAATCATGTTTGCTTAGGCCTCAGAGGAAGGTGGAGATTTGGAACACTGTGTGTTACCATTGTCCACTAGTTCTTCCTCCCCCAGTATTAAAAATTTGGCACCAGACTGAAGGAGAGGTCTTCAAGCATTTCATGAAGAATCATTTTCATATAGAGGAGCCCACACGCAAACAGCCAGTTATATAGAGGAGTCTATACACAACTTGCCCACTTCCCACCCCTGTAATGAAGTACCTATTCTTCAACCAGGAGAAGCATTGAAGCAAATCCAGACTCCTCACTGGATTTGGCAGCTGGGAAGAAGCTACTTTTGGGAGCTCAGTCTCCCACTGCCCTCACCTATGTCCATGCCTTAGCTCTGTAGGAGTTGGCAGCCTGGTGCAAGGAACAATCCCTGTGGTTAGTGAAATTGTAGTTACTGGGGTCATACCGTATTGATTAATTACCATCATTGTACATGGTGCTTTTCAAGTATAAGAACAATAAAACAATTATCTCAAGCTTATAAATATATTGAGGCATGGCAAAAAAAGAAAAGGAGAGAGCAGTTTAGAAGGAAATGAAGTCCAAACAACCCCCCCTCCCCCCCGAGGATAGGGCAGTGGCAGTTCGGTTGGGTGCTTCTGGGCCTTTGTATATTGAATCTGTGCATGATTCTTCTCTCTCTCTGAAGCCGGAATAGTGTTGGAATGGAGGGAGGGCCTATGATCTTCTCCTGGGCCTGGGGATATTAAAGCAGTGTGTGATTCTTCTTCTCTCCCTTTAAGATCAGGGCAGTGGCATTTGGGAGGGAGACTGGCACTTCCTCTCATCCCCTCTCCCCCAGTGCAATTCTATGGCCATTTTCCAGCAGAAGTCAACCATAGACTTATGCTGTAGGACCTAGACACTCCTACAAAGATGTTCTATCAGTTTTTTTCATGTCAGGAGCAACTTGAGAAAGTCCAGGTTGCTTCTGATGTGAGAGAATTGACCATCTGCAAGGACATTACACAGGGGACACCCTGATGTTTTGCCATCATGTGGGAGGCTTCTCTCATGTCCCTGCATGAGAAGCTGGAGCTGACAAATGAAAGCTCATCCCACTCCCCAGATTCAGACCACCGACCTTTTGGTCAGCAGTGCTGCTGGCACAAGTGTTTAACCCATTGCACCACTGGGGGCTCTTGTTCTTTCAGGTTAAAAATAGCTATATTTAAAAAAATTAATGCTCTTTCTCTCAGATTAAAAATAGCATTTTTTACTAATAGTTTTCACTTTTGCACAGTGTTTTGTGCTCCTAACATCAGTGAGGGCTGATTAAGATGTTTCCTGTTAAATCCTGTACCTACTGATATTAGTTCAGGATTCTTGAGGAAGGGGTATTTTAATATCTACAAAGCAAATATGAGCTGGAGCACAGTTGCAGAGAAGCACATTATCTTGCTGTTGCTAACACTGAGATGTTTCTCACATTGTTCCCTTTTAGGGTGCAAAAAAAATGTTAGCCCTAGGAATAACTGGTCCCGAGGGGCATGAACTGAGTCGCCCAGAAGAAGTGGAAGCAGAAGCCACCCAGAGAGCAATCACCATTGCCAGCTCAGTGAACTGTCCTCTCTTTGTAGTTCATGTGATGAGCAAATCTGCGGCCAAGGTGATTGCAGATGCTCGGAGGCAAGGTAACTTTCCTGTTAAAAATTCTTGAAGGTGTCTAGAATCAGGGCCTGACCCTTCTTTTCAGACAGGTGCAAGAAGTTATCGGTTTGAGTAAAAATTGGGTTGTTTGCCTTCTGGCTGGGAAAGAAAGTACTTTGCTTATGTACCCAGAAAACAGCTATTTAAATTCCAAAGTACAGGAAGACCTGGTGTTTTTTGTAAGTGGTAGTGCATGGACATAAAAAATGTGGAGGAAGGCAATTCTGTGTGTAGAGAAGCAGTTTTGTGTTGGATCGTTTAAAGGAAGAGGGGACTTCCTGTCCACAGAGTGATCAGATGTAAAATCCTTCACATCTTCCGTGCCATTATCATCTTCATTCTTAGTATTATGACTATGTGCTAAAGAGTTTGGAGAGCAACTTTTTTGGATTGTAGTTCCAGAACACTCCAGCCGAAAGAGCACTGTTCCAAGTTCTGTAAAGACCAAGGAAAGCTGCCAAGCTCATTCCAAATTAAGTGATGGCTTTGTGGAGCCTTGTGCAGAAAAGTCTTTCCCATCACCTGTTATCAGATTTTTCAAAGAGAAAGGGCAGGGATTGGACCTCAACTAGTTTTCATCAAAAGCAGTTATTCCCTACCCTTTGGTCCCCAGATGTTTTGGCCTTCAATTCCCAGAAATCTAATAGACGTTTCACCTGCATCTATGGCAAGCATCCTCAGAGGACTCACCTCTGAGGATGCTTGCCATAGATGCAGGCAAAACGTCAGGAGAAATGCCTCTAGAACATGGCCATATAGCCCGAAAAAACCCACAAGAACTTATCCAGGGTTTGAAAATATTCCAAGAGAGAGAGAGAAAATCCAAAAACCAAACCCTCAATTTCTCTATTTTATATAAGGGACACCATTGTACTGCACCATTACATGTAATGGGATTTGTGCATTCTTGAATTTTGTTATCCACAGGGGTCTTGGACCCAAACCCCAGTAGATACTGAGGGCCCACTGTACTTTAAAATGAAAGCAGTCCTAAAAAGAGAGTTGAAAACTTTTCCTCTTGTCTGACAGAATTAGGGCACCAGCTTTCTCAAACACTATAGATAAAGATAGAGGTATTTATCTGAAACTTGCAATGGCATGAGATAGAAGAATCTAGATAAACGCAGCAGTAAATGTGATGGAACATAGCACACCCAACACTGCAGCATTACCTCCTATTGCTAATGAGTAATAGTTATAAGTAGTACCAAAGCATGAGCAAAAGTATAGTTGGGCACCACATGGGGTTAGTCTGCTCTAAGTAATGAATATTGATGTGTTACAAATATAGGACTTAATATTAAAATCTGAAAGAAATCCCTCTTTTCTGTATTATGTTACATTGGTTTTATCCACTGGATGTCACTGTTGACAATGCTGTGGAGTTCATTCCAATGCGCGTGGTTCTTTGCCTTTGCAAGGTAACTGAATGATGTGGTTACAGAATCAAATGTAAGAAAATGTAAAATCAGCTAAATTATGTAGGTCAAAGCAAAAAAAAAATCCCAAGGCAATTCAAAAGCATCAAAACTGGAAAGGGTAGGTTATGTACCCTGCATTGTGTTGTCCCAGTTGTAAGTCTGTACTGATAAATTCTGTACAGAATGATTTTGTAAGAACAAACACACACGTTTTCGCATTATGACTGTTTGTCTGTGTATTTGCAAATATACTACAGATCAGCTATCCCCAAACTGGTGTCTCACAGTTTTGGAGACTATATCCCCCACTATTCTCAGTCTGTGAGAAAGGACTACTGTGGCCATCACATCTAGTGGGTCCCAAATGGGGAAGATTATTCTGACTAGATAAACAATCTACTTCTATAGGGGACACTTTTTAAATGTTACTTTTAATCAATCTAATGAGTAAATGAAGAATTGTTTATTTATTTATTTATTTATTTACTCTATTTGTATACTGCCTTTCTTAGCCAATTGGCAACTCAAGGTGGTTTCCAACAAATCAGTATACATAAAACATAATAGATAAAAAACATTAAACAGTATAAGACATCACAAAAGCAATAAAAGCACCACATCATTCTCACCCCAACATGGTTCACTATTGAAATTTAGGCTACATATGTTTGACAAGATCTCAGCATGTTAACAGTTACATACAGTAAGTCTTACGATAATTAGTTGGACCAAGAATGAAACACCACCATCCTTTTTTTCAAGAGTTATCTTTAAATTAAGACTGACATAGAAATTTCTTTATTCTTAGAGGTCTCTAGTCACCTTGATGTATGATGTAACTAAACAGTAAGTAGACTGTAAAAGTGGGGCTGTTCTTGTGCCTAGCTTGTAAATTGCAGCTACTACAGAATGTAGCAGCCTAGAGATTCAGTGGATCCCCATGCTATGTGTATATGTGTATATACTGCACCAGTTCTGAGGAAACTGCATTAGTTGCCTGTTCATTATCAAACCATGTTTAGGGGCCTGTTGTTGATCTACAGAATTCTATAATCGAGTAGGACACCATCCCCTATATAGTTGACTCCTTAAATCAGCACTGGTGGTCTATTGTGAATTTGGGCTTTCTTTCTTCCTCTTAAAAACATACAGTCAATGCCATACTATTAGGATTAGACATAAGTCTCTTATGTCACTGGAAATGTTCTTCTGCCAGCAGAATTCAGCAGAGTAGGATATGTCGGCAGAAGAGCCACAAAGGAACCAAAGTCCTCAAATCACATACACAGCCTCAATGTTGGCACAAGGTTAAGTTAGGGCAAGAATGGTCCCAAATAATGTTTAGCATCCCTAACTTTGGAGAGGTTTAGATCCACCACAGCTTCAGCTGGCCTAGCATCAAGTTAATTGTTCCTTGTCCAGTTAGAACCATACTCTTAGTTGTATGTAGAGTAGATCCAGTCAAATCAGTAAGACATAAGATGATAATGAGCATTAATTTTAGTGGGCCTACTATCGGTCTATAAAGTATGGAGCCAACCCATTCTTTTATGTATTTTGCTATGTGCTCCTTCATGCTGGTATTTCCAGTAAACCCTTTGTCCTTCTTAACATTGATGCATTTCATACATTTCATACATCACCTTATAGATGTGAGAGCTGGACCTTAAGGAAGGCTGAGCAAAGAAATCCAACCAGTTCATACTTCAGGAAATAAAGCCCAACTGCTCATTGGAGGAAAGGATATTAGAAGCAAAGATGAAGTACTTTGGCCACATCATAAGAAGACAGGAAAGCTTAGAGAAGACAATGATGCTGAGGGAAATGGAAGTAAAAAGGAAGAGGGGCCAACCAAGGGCAAGATGGATGGTATCCTTGAAGTGACTGGCTTAACTCTGAAGGACTGTGGGTGGTGATGGCCAACAGGGAGATCTGGTGTGGGCTGGTCCATGAGGTTATAAAGAGTCGGAAGCAATTGAACGAATAAACAACAACATTTCATACATATGTTTTGTCTTAGGGAAAGTTGTATATGGAGAACCTATAGCTGCTGGTCTTGGGTTAGATGGCACTCACTATTGGCATAAGGAATGGCATCATGCTGCAGCTTATGTAATGGGCCCACCATTGAGACCAGATTCAACTACTCCAGACTTTCTCATGAACCTTCTAGCAAAGTAAGTAAGATTATTAATATTGTAAAGATTTATGGGCAACACTGAGATGATTTACCATGAAGAAGAAGACTTGTATATAGAGGGGACAGGTCATAGTCATATGCCCCTAGCATATCATCATTCTACATATATTCTGTAAATAAATTCGCAACAGGATACCAAACGCAGACTTTATCAGTGGGATCATTCCTACATCTCTCACCGCTGACCAACTTCCAGCTGGTTTTCAGCATCTCTTAGAACAGTCACTTTTTTGAACAAAAATCCCCATAGTCCCCAGCTAGCATCCTTTTAAGTGTTACAGGACAACTACCAATGCAGCTGCAGGCTCCATGGAAAAAATAGGGGTTAAAGGCAACACCAGGGTAGCAGAAATCTGTGAACATAATGGGACTTTTCTCCTCCATGTAGCTCTCTGCTTCATTTAAAAACCTTCAATCTATTCTGATCGAAGCAGAATTATGCTTTCAGATTGTACTCCATAAAAACCATTAGATCCCTTTGAATTGCCCTGTGATCTTTGCTCCTTTACTATCTCAATGGGTGTTCTGTTCTCTGCTTTCCAAAACTATTCTTTAACATCTTCAGTAACCAGCTATGCTTGCTTGTACATATTCAGGCACTGAAGCAAGTAAAAGGGCAAGGTTATTCTGGGAGTGGAAGTGACATACAGTGCGTTAAAAAACACACACACCTGGTTAATGTATATTCTCAGAAAGAATTCTTTTCTTTTCAGTGGTGACCTAACTGTGACAGGGACAGATAATTGCACCTTTGATATCTGCCAGAAAGCTTTGGGAAAGGATGATTTCAGAAAGATTCCAAATGGACTTAATGGTCTGGAGGACAGGATGTCAGTTATATGGGAAAAGGGAGTGGTAAGTTGTGTTTATTTTACTCTCAGATATAATGATGGATTTTAGGATCTTGTTACTCCAAATTCTTCTTCTTCTTCTCCTCCTCCTCCTCCTCCTCCTCCTCCTCCTCCTCCTCCTTATCCCGCTTTTTCTCTCCAAAAAAGAGACTCAAAACAGCTCATAATAAAACCAATACAATTAAAATATTAAAATATGCATACATTAAAACATAATTTAATTATAATACTACAATATACTTTATAATTGGCTTCTATAAATTAAGATGAATGCTTTTATGTTCAAATTTTATGCCCTTATACAATTTTTGTTTGATTACATTGGGTTTAATTTATTGATGTTAGGCTATTACATTGTTTTGATGTGTAGGGTTCCTCTGGGATTGTTGTGTTGATATTTGACTGTTTACCGAGGCATTGAATGTTTACTGTTGTATGTTGGAATCCACCCTGAGCCCCCCTTGGGGAGATAGGACGGAATATAAATAATGTTTTTATTATTATTATTATTATTATTATTATTATTATTATTATTATTATTATTTATGTAATTAAACATGAACAGATTTAAAAATAAACCCTTAAACCCAATTAAAAACCTATTCATAGCTAAGAGCACAGTACCCCCTGTGCTCTTAGCTATGAATCCTACTTTAAAAGCCTGTCTGAATAGAAAGGTTTTAGCCTGCTGCTGGAAGGATAGCAGGGAGGAGGCCATTCTGGCTTTCCTGGAAGAGAGTTCCAGAGTTAAGGGGCAGCCACTGAGAAGGAAGGTCTGCTCTCTCATTTCCACCAATCATGCTTGAGATAGAGGTGGGACCGAGAGAAGGGCCTCTCCTGAAGGTCTCAGGACTCGGGCAGGTTTGTACAAGGAGGCGTGATCAGCAAAATAGCCTGGACCTGAGCTGTATAAGGTTTTAAAGGTCATAACCAGCATTTTGAATTGTGCCCAGAAACGGGCTCAAACTGGCAGCCAATGGAGCTCCTTCAACAGTGGGATTCTATGCTTTCTGATGGTTATTTCATTTGTTTGGGGTTGCATTCAAGGTAAAGCTGTGTAACTTTAAAGCTCTTTCTGGCTTTTGGTCACCCACTTAAAACATTTTTATCTTGAAAAATGATATTTGAAGTTCATAAATAAATAAATAGCAAATAAGTGATTACATTTTAGTTTCATACACTATCCAACTTTAAGGAAATATGGATCTATTCCCAAAGGTGTACAAAATGCATCTGAAGTATTTGCAAAGAGGAAACAATGACCACCCACTTGGATAGTCCTAAAAGGAAATTAGGCACCATCAAGATGGATAAACACAGTTATTTGGCAAGAGTTACAGTGAAGTATAAAGCTATCAATAACTACTAGTCATAAGGACTGGGTTTTATTCTGAATATCAGTGACATTCCCTTTTATATACTAGTTGGAACATAAAGAAGAGAACGCTATTATACTTACCATATACTCATGTATTAGCCGACCTCATGTATAAGTCAAGGGCAGATTTTGGGGCCATAATTATGGATTTTGGTATGACCCATGGATAAGTTGAGAGTAATTCCCCAACATCTCTCAGGGGCCAGTTACACCTATCTACCATTGCCACCATTTTCACACCTGGCATTCATAAATTATATACGTGGCAAAAATGTTACTCTTTCTCCACTCTTTCTCCACTTTAAGAGAAGGGGATGCTTCCTTTTTGAATAAGAGTTAAGGTCCAATACTTACATTGACCCATAGATATGTCAAGCCAGTTTGGGGAGGTCAATGTTTTTACTGAAGTTTCCAAACTTACGGAGCATATAGCAGCTTGGAGACTCACTGGCTTTTCCGCAACCCCGTGATTGTCCACTAGTTTATTTTTTTAGTCTTATGTCCCTATCCCCATTTGTATTCTTCAATGTGTTACCAATTGTCAGACCTCATAACCTCTGAGGATGGCTGCCATAAATGCGAGCAAAACGTCAAGAGAGAATGCTTCTGGAACATGGCCATATAGCCCAAAAAAATTACATCAACCCAATTGTTTTTAAAAAATTAAATATCCTAGACAGCAGATTTCCACATGAGGCAATTGGGTGTATGTGTATGTGTGCATGTATGCCCACTTGACTGTTTTGCTAACAGGAAACAAACCTCTTTCCCAACCTCCTATTGATTTCCTACTTTATTAATATGTGTTCTTGGATTTTCCCATTACTCTTTTGCAGCATAGTGGCAAGATGGATGAAAATAGATTTGTAGCAGTTACCAGCACAAATGCAGCTAAAATCTTTAACATGTACCCAAGAAAGGGAAGAATTGCTGTTGGCTCTGATGCTGACATTGTTATTTGGGACCCAAAAGCTACAAGGTAGGTATGGCCTGAGTAATCAGATCCCATCTGCCCATCCTGTCTGTTGGCAAAGCAATAGGAACACATTTTTAGACATAAATCCTGATGACGAAATGATGTCCTCCTTGAATTATTCACAGGGTATACAGTGCTAGCCACAGCATATCTACGGGAAGGGTTTTGTTTAGTAAGAACATTTTTTAAAAACTATCTGGACTGCTGACCATATAGGAAAACAACAGTGCTTGTACTTTTACACTAATTGCTATTTTCCTGAAGATGGTGAGTGATTAAAAATGATCCCCAGGCAATTGCCGACTAGCTTATGCCCATATTCCGATGTCTAAAAATATCTAAGTGATGTACCAAGAACTATCACATACTTTGCTGAGAATACTTTAGCAATTAATTGTGCCATAACTAGTTGTTTCTCTGCCCAAGGTAAGTTTCTAATTCTATGCCAGCTTTCCCAGAACCAGCTCTGAAGTGAAGGATGACTGCAGATTTTAAGGGAGCATAATTAGGTTGGGGCAGAGCATATGCTGTGCATGTTGAAGGTCCCACATTCTGTTCCTGATATCTCCAATTAAGACTAGGAAATATCTCTCTCTGAAACACTGGACAACCTCCAGCAATCAATGCAGACAGAGATCTGATTTAGCATAAGGGGACTTCCTAACTCACAGGCTGCTGCTCTCCAGAGCCCCCGTGCCCCTCTCTACCATCGCCAGCTAATGATATTTGATGTCTGAATATGTTGTCCTTCATAGGCCGTGCACACAAAGTAAATGATAAGATTCAGTGATGCCATTATGCCTGACCTACTACTCTCATTAAATCTTTGGGCAAAACACTATTCTCTTTTTGATATACTAGATCAGTGATGGGCAACCTTTTGAGCTTGGTGTGTCAAATTTTGACAAAAAACCGAGCGTAACTCGGGTGGGGTATCACTTCAAGAAAAAAAACAACATAATTTTGCACTATTTATAGTTTAAATGTCAAAAATGTGTAATTGTAATATATAACTGTATTTAATAAAAAAACCTAATTATTTAACTTACCTGCTTAGTGACTTATTTGTTCATCTGTCAGTCGGTTTCTTTTGTTGGTCTTGATATTATTTAACTTGTGTGGGGTGCTGTGAACTAAGATAAGTGAGGGGGAGGGGAAATTCTTTAACTAACTTGCCTGTTAGTGACTTTTTTGTTGCTGAATTTCATTGGCTAAATCTTCAATTGAAGGTTATTTTGTACACTTCAAGCCCAAGCAAGTGCTACTAACTTCATATGTCAATATGTTTCTTTTGGATTTTGTTGGGAAATCCACAACACCCCAGAACAGTAGGTTGGATGATTATTGCTGTGGTTATGTGGTTGCTGGTAATAGTGATCACAGGGGCTCCAGAGATGCGTCACCCGCAGCATTTTGCTGCCCGCTCCACCAGCTGGAAGTGAGGTCAGAGATCCTCTAATGGCCTAACTGGAAGTCCCAGAACCAGACGCTCCATACTTCATACAATAGCATCTTAAAAACACGATATTTTGAAGATAGGTAATATACTAAACGTACTTTGTACAATAGCATCTGAGTTTTGAGAAAAATCATAATTTGAAGATATTTAAGAGGCAAGGGAACAGAAGTTTATATTCTTGTAGAGATAGCTCAACACTGAATGACATTTGCATATAAAAGTAAATCAGGATAACTTTTCAGGATCTGTAGAGTTCAATTAAAACATCATACAAATAGTATCATATAATGAACAGGCGACCAGCCTCAGTATAGCTACCATAAGTAGCACAGATGGGTGAGGGTATGTGCTCAGCCTGGATTAAGATTTGAAAAGAAATTTTGGATTGTAACTCCCATAATCTCAAGCCATCATAACCAGAGACTTTCCAAATAATTTACCAAGTTCTGATGAAGTGAAAACATCTGGTGACCAGATAGGGTCAGACCTACATGGCTGTCTCCTTGTCCCATCTGCATCCCAGTTCATTAAACTGGGAGACAGTCACACCTAGAAAGATTGAACCAGCATATGACCATAGTATGGAGTATAGGGAGGCATTATCAGACATTGCTGTCATTTAATTGACTTGTGGCACAATTCCCCCAAAAATGTATTTCCACCACATTAGAGGATGATTACCAAAAATACATCGTGCACTTTAATATGTATTTTACAGAAATGCAGTTTTAAGGTGGATCTTTTATAGAAATATGTATATTTGTTGATTTTTTACAATGTTCGTGGTTTTTTAATTGTGTTGTCTCCCTGCGGCTCAAGGAAGGTAAGAAATAAAATTATTATTATTATTATTATTATTATTATTATTATTATTATTCATCCTGTGCACTGGATAAGATTGTTCTTTTGTCCTCATTTCTGAGATAAAAGGCATCTGTTGGTTTGTACTCTGTTCTGGCATCAGTCATATTCATCTATTAACTTTCCTTAGAAATAATTAGTGTGTGAACATTCAATTCTATTTATTCATTATTAAAAGTATTCCTAAACTGCCTCTCACCCTTGCAAATACTTGCAGTACACATACTGTGCAAACTCCTGCAGTACAAGATTATGATCAAAACCATCACGTAATGTGCTATAAAAGCAATAAAGCATAAACAAAGGAACAAGAAAGGACGCGCTAAACAGAGAAATCATATCCAATAAAATTCCTGAGTAAGCAAAGAGGTCTTGACTTAACACTGAAAATGTGGCAATACTGACTAGTTGCAAGACCATATACTTCGCCAGAAGAGGGAGCACATGGCTTAGGAAAATTATTTAAAAATCACAGGACATTCTTCAGGCCTATGAAATCCAACCCAATGACTATCAGCATGTATCTCAAGAGTCATCATTCAGAATGGTTTCATGATCCTTCCCTACATGGATAAGCAAAATAAGATGCCTGTCTCTTTCCAGGAAAAGGCTTCATGGGTTACTCACTATGCACTTCTCAGTTCATCTTTAGAGGTTCCTATTTATGGAGCGACTCCACACAGGCAAGAATCCTTAGAAAGCTGTGATCATTGTCATGCGGAAAGCCTCCCTCCAAATAGAAACCTCTCCTTTTTAGATGCTTCATGTGAAGATAGCAGTGGCATCTAGGCCCTCCCATATCCCATGAGAAAGCAATCCAAAACACGGTGCTGGTGTTGTAGACCCCATGTGCTGAATATCTCTCTGTGAAGCAGTGCAAAATAAGAGTCAGAGCAAGGGAAAGTGCTTTATGCCATTTCTCCCCACTTTGAGTCTACTCGTGGAGAGAAAAAGCGAGGTATAAATAAATGTAATAATAACAACAATGTGAGTATGGCTGCATCTATACTTTCCAAAATAGTCTGGATTACTGTGCATTACTGTGCATCTTGGATAGCTATCTGGTGTCCAGATAGCTATCCAAGATGAAAGCACATTGGAGCCACCCCTTCTGCATCTGTGTTGTTGGCCAAAAGTAGCTCCTTGGTTGAGCCTTGCTGGTGACATCACTTCTGACAAGTTCACATCCTGATTCCAAGCCATGCGACCTGCAGAAGCAACTTCGCCAGCAAGGCTCTTTTGGGGAACTGCTTCTAGTCAGCAACACAGTGGTGGGTCTATTGGCCAGGTGGAGATTAGATTGGACCAGATCCAGCTCGATCCAAGGTATGTTCATACCTCAAAATGTAATTTCAATTTCCTCTTGTTCTGGATTAAAGGCTAAAAGCAGCATTTCTGCTGCAAAGCCAGCTCTCGTACATCATGTGGACTCCCTGCAGTATTTGCAAAACAAGTCAACTTTGTTTGGCCTATGTAGACATGACCATTCCTTGAAGCAAGAGTTTTTCCAGGTCCCACCAGGAGATATCAAAAACTGAACCAAGCACCTTCGGAATGCAAAACATAGTCTTAAAACTGAGTGTGGCCTTCCCTTACTGAGTTACACATTACCTATCTCTAATACAGACATACTCAGTTAGCAAAGTAGATGTGTGTCTGGATATTCAAAAGAAAACTTCATGCCCATGGCAGAAATAACATGGAAAGGATAAGGGAGGAGGGAGCAAGCTTGTTTCCTGCTTCCTTGGAGACTAGGACGCGAAACAATGGCTTCAAACTACAAGAGAGGAGATTCCATCTGAACATTAGGAAGAACTTCCTGACTGCGAGAGCCGTTCAGCAGTGGAACTCTCTGCCCCGGAGTGTGATGGAGGCTCCTTCTTTGGAAGCTTTTAAGCAGAGGCCGGATGGCCATTTGTCAGGGGTGATTTGAATGCAATATTCCTGCTTCTTGGCAGGGGGTTGGACTGGATGGCCCAAGAGGTCTCTTCCAACTCTTTGATTCTATGATTCTATGATTCTATGATAAGAATAGGCTCCTATACCAATCATCATCATCATCATCATCTTTATTTATATCCCGCCCCCTCTCCACAAGGACTCAGGGCGGCTCACAACAGAATCAAGAAATATATGCCCAAGCCTTTGGGGAATCTATATTGGCTGGCTTTACTCGGGGGCTATCTGATACCTTCTGTTGAGATTAAGACCCTTAGCAGACAGAGGCACTTTAGGCAAGGTGAAAATATAACCAAATGAGTTTACTGAAACAAGATGAATAAAGGGTTAACTCTACCCGGGACTATCATAAAGTGACTTAAAACAATACATTACAAAAGGAGATTTTGCTGTTTACGGTCATCTTTCTGGAATCTTTCAAAGTCTCTTGCCTCTGGTGCAAAATGATGGTTATAACTATCTCAATCTTCTTCCTTGTGAAGATTAGGCTGGCCAAAAGATCCTGTTGTCCTTTGGACTGGTGGTATAAAAATACTGCTAAATGCAGGTGCTAAGGATGCCTGTTTTTGGATTGCTTGGCCTAGGATACCAGACAATGCCAAGCCTAAGTCACAGTAGCTCTGCTGTAGAATAGAAAGAGGAGGAGTCCAGCAAGAGCTGTATACAGGGAAATGGAATAGACCAACTAAGACTGGCCTCTGGGCGGATTTTAAGCTCCCCACAA